TAACACTGTCTTATTTCAAAAATCATGTTACAGTTTGGATCTGAAATGTTCCCCAAAACTCAGTGTGCTTAAGGTTTGGTTGCTAGTTGATGGGCTTTTCAGGGAAGTAAATGGATCCTGAGGGGCTCTACCTTCGCCAAGTAAATTAACCCACTGATAAGATCATACTTTAATAGTATTATTCAAAGGTGACAAAAAAAGGAGCTGAGGTCTAGTTAAAGAGAGAAGATCATGGTGGCATGATCTTGGGAACTAAACCTGGTGTTTGGCCCCTTCCTCTCATGCTGTCTCCCACCCCGCCCCTCCACTCCCTCTTCCTCTCCCTCCCTCTCTCCTTTCCCCTCTTCCCTCCCCTTCCCCCCCACTTCCTGGCAGCCATGAGGTAAGCAACTTTCCTCTGCCATATCCTTCATGATGTTTTGCCTGACCACTGCCTGCAGGAAGGGAGCCAGATGACCATGGACTGAAACTTCTGAAACAGTGAGCCAAAATAAACTATTCCTCTTTAAATTGTTTAGTTCAGGTACTTTATCACAGGAACAGAAAGTTAACACATCATTTCACAGTTTTAAAAAAATCAAAACATGGACCAGGGATTTAGCTCAGTGGCACCATGCCTGCCTCAAAAGCTCAAGGTCCTGAGTTCAATCCCTGGTACTGAAACAAAACAAAACAACAACAACAACAAAAAATCAAAACACCATGACAGGAACTTCTGACTTCAGTTCCAACACAGAAAGACCTTTGGAAGTCATTACACCCATTCTCACAAGAAAAAAACTAAACATACTGAAAATCAGTGACTTTTTAAGAAAAGATCCATCACACTTGAGATCACTGGGCAAAACTACCACCTGAGGAAGACAGTAGTGAATACAGAGAACCAGAGAATACAGCTGAGATCAGGCTGCTTGAATAAAAAGCTGGGTCGTAACTGTTAACTAACACTTAAATTTTTTTATTTTTTTGGTACCAGGGATCGAACTCAGGTCCTTCCGCTTGCGCAGCAGGCGGCGAAATCGCTGAGCTAAACCCCTGAGCTAAACCCCCAGCCACTTAAATGTTAATTTTAACAAGCTCCTGGGGCCTGAGTGTCTACTACATGGATAATTAAAAACTCATAGCATCCAACATTAGCTAGGCCCCACACTTTTATGGGTTTTGCTTTCAGGAACTCTTTCATGTTATCAAAAAGAAGATCAGATAATGTATTTTAGAGAGCAAAAGAAGGAAAATATACATTGTTAAATATACCCAGAATGTATTCCATAACAATGACCTGCCTTCCAGTGGAAACTATACCAAAGCCTCATCCAACCTGGGGAAAAGGCATATAGTCAGCTCCCAGCCTTCTAACCTTCATGAATTATGCAAGGAAATAAAAAATACAGAAATATTTCTAAAAGGTCACAGCCTAGGAATTGAAGCCTACAAAAACAAAACAAAACAAAAACACTAAGATTTCATCATAAAATTATAAACTGCTTTCCCTTCCCAAAACCTTACCATCGCATCAAAGGGGGTTTTAGTATATTTACAACTGCTGCAAACCACCAACTCTAAGAAAAAAACACTTAAACCTACAGACAACAGGGTAACAAAAGGAAAAATGAAGCCTAAGATGGCTACACTTTGGTTCAGGCTGGGCAGGGGGGATTTCCAGCAGACATTAACTCCAAGTCAGTAAGATTTTGGAGCAGGTGTACCTCATAAGTCTCAGTGTAAATAACTGATATAACAAAGGTTGATGCTGGCCAGTGTAAATAACTTAAATAACCAAGGTTGTTGGTTATATAAGCACATGGCCACTACTGTGTATTTTGATATAAATGTAGACCACCACAAGGGCTGGCAGGAGACTAAGTGGCTTAGAGCTGCTGTGAGAATGGGAGGGTCAGCCTGAGCACTGCCACATGAGTGAGTGCAGCTAATGTTCAGGTATCTCCAAACTTTCTCTTTTCCAGGCTTCCCAAATCTCAAGAGAACCTCCCCAGTCTGAACTGATGACAAGATGGGGAAAATCCAATAAACTATAGGAAATTGAGGCCCTGGCACTAAAATGTATATTATGCATTAAACACAGCCCAAACACAGTTCCTACTCTTTAATATGTCACATTCAACTTTTAACAAAACATTACAAAGTATGCTTAAATGCAAGGAAAAGACCACCACCTGATCAGACAAAACAACCATTAGACTGGATTCAGATAGAAATCAGTTTGAAATTGTTTAGGGAATTTAAAATAATGATGATTAGTATGTTAAAGGATCTAATGGAAAAGACAACATTAAGAACAGATAGAGAGGGCCAGGGATTTAGCTCAGTGGTTTCACCACCTGCTGCGCAAGTGCAAAGGCCCGAGTTTGATCCCTGGTACCAAAAAAATAAGCAAATAAATGGCAAACATTGCATTATATTGAATTTAAAAAAAAAAAAGAACAGATAGAGAATGTAAAAATGAAAACTCTAAAAATGAATCAAAAGGAAATACTAACCATCAAAAATATTATAACATAAATGGAGAATGGCCACATCATAGATGGAGTCACAAGTAAACCTGAATGTAATTAAATAGAAATTTCTCACATTGAAGTGCAAATAAAAGAAAAAAACCAGAATATCCATTAACTGTGGAACTATTTCAAAAGGTTGAAATATAAAGGGTTGGAGATGTAGCTCAGTGGTAGAGTTAGTGTTCAGCATGTGCGAAGCCCTAGGGTCAATTCTCAGCACGTGCATGCATACACACACACAACACACACACACACACACACACACA